GTACAAGAAGGGTAGTAGGCGGGGCCTCAAGAGCTAGAGCTCACGCCCCTGTAGACAGTGAGAGATAAGCACCTACACATGCTCACCAGCAACTGTGTGAACCTCACCAGTTGTGAGTCGGGTTGGTGGGGTGTTTATCATAGTCACGGGTGTGAAGACTGGGTTTACCAGTATACGGCCCTTGTTTATTAGGATGGGTTATTAAACGACTCCCGTTGAACAGTTAAACCAGCCCGTCCACCCCGTTGTACTTCGAACAACAGTCGTCAGCGAAGCACTTGTTCCAGAAGTGTTCGGACGTCATCAGTTGTGAGTCTGTACTGTAGCTGTAATGGCAGCCCGTCCTCCAAACAAAGATCCAAAAGTGATTCCATGCACCCGCCAAACCCCCTGTTTATGAATGAAAAGCGATTTACACAAGACTCACAACTGCTGAAGTTCGAACATATCCGGAACAAGTGCTTCACTGACGAATTTTGTTCGAATCACAACGCTATAAATGCTTCACCCACGTACTACAAATACAAATAATCGCCAACAGAACCTAAACACCTAACCTAACCTATCCTATGCCTATATATGCACAATATGCTAATATATTATAGTATTAATTTATACTTGAGAAAATTCCCGTTTTGAATGAACAGCAAGTTAAAATTTATGAATGCGTCTGTGGGGTTGACCGCTGGATGTAATGGACTAGAGTCGAGGACGGGTTGGTAATGGAGCTGTACCCAAATGGATCCATGAGTGTCCTCGGGGGTTGATCAGTCAGGGAGCTTAGTTAATAAGCACCAGGACTGACCAATCCTTATAGACGATCATTGGTGCGGTGGTCACGGTACTGTGTACGTTTAGGGGTTATCCTAGACGGCATGGGTTCAAATCCTGGCCGGGTCAAAGAGTTCTTAGTGATATATGGCTTGCGCGTTCATATATCGCTGCCATATATATATAATAAATATAAATATAAATATAAATATAATATATATATATATATATATATATATATATATATATATATATATATATATATATATATATATATATATATATATATATATATATTATTAAATATGACCGAAAAAGTAAGATTAATAATTCTAACACGAATTTTCTCAATCTTTCGTACATTTCTTTTCACTGTTGGAGGTAAATCAAAAATCAATTCTCCAAAATTCATTTTTATTTCTAGTCTGACGCGACACGAGCGCGTTTCGTAAAACTTATTACATTTTCAAAGACTTTAGTTCACAAATACACAACTGAATAGAACTTACGCATCTCCGATTTTATATCTACATTTGAGTGAGGTGGAAGGGGTGATGTGGCATTAACACAAGACAGAACAAGATGTGGCATTAATAGGGTATTAATTTCATCAACTCACAGAACAAGACATCAACACAAGACAGAACACGAAACAATGGATATTGAATAGAAGTGTTTGTAGAAAGCCTATTGGTCCATATTTCTTGATGCTTCTATATTGGAGCGGAGTCTTGAGGTGGGTAGAATATAGTTGTGCAATAATTGGCTGTTGATTGCTGGTGTTGACTTCTTGATGTGTAGTGCCTCGCAAACGTCAAGCTGCCTGCTATCGCTGTATCTATCGATGATTTCTGTGTTGTTTACTAGGATTTCTCTGGCGATGGTTTGGTTGTGGGAAGAGATTATATGTTCCTTAATGGAGCCCTGTTGCTTATGCATCGTTAAACGCCTAGAAAGAGATGTTGTTGTCTTGCCTATATACTGGGTTTTTTGGAGCTTACAGTCCCCAAGAGGGCATTTGAAGGCATAGACGACGTTAGTCTCTTTTAAAGCGTTCTGTTTTGTGTCTGGAGAGTTTCTCATGAGTAGGCTGGCCGTTTTTCTGGTTTTATAGTAAATCGTCAGTTGTATCCTCTGATTTTTGTCTGTAGGGATAACGTTTCTATTAACAATATCTTTCAGGACCCTTTCCTCCGTTTTATGAGCTGTGGAAAAGAAGTTCCTGTAAAATAGTCTAATAGGGGGTATGGGTGTTGTGCTAGTTGTCTCTTCAGAGGTTGCATGACTTTTCACTTTCCTTCTTATGATGTCTTCGACGAAACCATTGGAGAAGCCGTTATTGACTAGGACCTGCCTTACCCTACAGAGTTCTTCGTCGACTTGCTTCCATTCTGAGCTGTGGCTGAGAGCACGGTCGACATATGCGTTAACAACACTCTTGTACCTATCTGGGCAGTCGCTGTTGGCATTTAGGCACATTCCTATGTTTGTTTCCTTAGTGTAGACTGCAGTGTGGAAACCTCCGCCCTTTTCCATGACTGTTACATCTAGAAAGGGCAGCTTCCCATCCTTTTCCATCTCGTAAGTGAAACGCAGCACGGAACTCTGCTCAAATGCCTCCCTCAGCTCCTGCAGATGTCTGACATCAGGTACCTGTGTAAAAATGTCGTCAACATACCTGCAGTATATGGCCGGTTTCAAGTTCATGTCGACTAAGACTTTTTGCTCGATGGTACCCATTTAGAAGTTTGCAAACAGGACACCTAGGGGAGAACCCATGGCGACCCCATCTACTTGCTTATACATGTGCCCATCCGGGCTCAAGAAGGGTGCCTCTTTAGTACAAGCTTGGAGTAGTTTCCTCAGAATATTTTCTGGTATGTCAAGAGAAGTACAGGCTGGATAACGATACACTCTGTCGGCTATCATTCCGATTGTCTCGTCCACAGGTACGTTGGTAAACAGCGATTCTACGTCCAACGAGGCTCTTATCCCTGTGGCCCGTGTGCCCCGCAGTAAGTCAACAAATTCCTTTGGAGACTTCAGGCTGAAGGCGCAAGGAACATAAGGAGTCAGCAGGCCGTTGTATCGCTTCGCCAGTCCGTACGTGGGTGTGGGTATCTGGCTAATGATTGGCCAAAGTTGGTTTCCAGGCTTGTGTGTCTTGACATTTCCATACGCATATCCAGGTTTATATTCCCCAATGATCTTTGGCAGGTGGAGTCCGGATTTCTTGGCGTTCACAGTTTCGATCAGTTTGTTGACCTTTGCTTTTAATTCGGCTGTAGTGTCTTTCGTTACCCTTTGGAACTTAGTTTGGTCAGAGAGTATGATGTTCATTTTCGCCAGATATTCGTCTTTTTTAAGAATGACATATATTGGCGACTTGTCACCTCTCCTGACAACTATCTCCTTGTTCTCACGAAGGCTTTTAGCTGCCGCTTTAAGCTCGGGGGACAGTATGGTGCTTCTGTAATTGCCTCGATTCTTTCCTCCTTCTGCAATAAGTTCTGCTTGTAAGGTATCTTTGGTAGTGACCTTCTTTTGTGTCTCGAGGTCGAATATGTCGTCCAACAGAATTTCCAACTCTACTTTCCGGGCCATCTCACTCGGTCTGGACATAACATGACAGTTTATGCCCAGATTTAGGAGAGTGACTTGGTCCTCAGTGAGGTTAATTCCTGCAAGGTTCAGGAAGCCATCTCTTGGTCGTGGAATTGCCATAGGTCCTCCATATAATGTTGTTAGTTTCTTGATAATCCTTGTTTCAGTGCTGAGGTGATGTTGGTCTGTGATATATATATATATATATATATATATATATATATATATATATATATATATATATATATATATATATATATATATATATATATGTCGTACCTAGTAGCCAGAACTCACTTCTCAGCCTACTATTCAAGGCCCGATTTGCCTAATAAGCCAAGTTTTCCTGAATTAATATATTTACTATAATTTTTTTCTTATGAAATGATAAAGCAACCCTTTTCTCTATGTATGAGGTCAATTTTTTTTTATTGGAGTTAAAATTAACGTAGATATATGACCGAACCTAACCAACCCTACCTAACCTAACCTAACCTATATTTATAGGTAAGGTTAGGTTAGGTAGCCAAAAAAGCTAGGTTAGGTTAGGTTAGGTAGGTTAGGTAGACGAAAAAACATTAATTCATGAAAACTTGGCTTATTAGGCAAATCGGGCCTTGAATAGTAGGCCAAAAAGTGAGTTCTGGCTACTAGGTACGACATATATATATATATATATATATATATATGTCGTACCTAGTAGCCAGAACGCACTTCTCAGCCTACTATGCAAGGCCCGATTTGCCTAATAAGCCAAGTTTTCATGAATTAATGTTTTCTCGACGACCTAACCTACCTAACCTAACTTTCTCGGCTACCTAACCTAACCTAACCTATAGAGATCGGTTAGGTAGGGTTGGTTAGGTTCGGTCATATATCTACGTTAATTTTAACTCCAATAAAAAAAATTGACCTCATACATAATGAAATGGGTAGCTTTATCATTTCATAAGAAAAAAATTAGAGGAAATATATTAATTCAGAAAAACTTGGCTTATTAGGCAAATCGGGCCTTGCATAGTAGGCTGAGAAGTGCGTTCTGGCTACTAGGTACGACATATATATATATATATATATATATATATGTCGTACCTAGTAGCCAGAACTCACTTTTTGGCCTACTATTCAAGGCCCGATTTGCCTAATAAGCCAAGTTTTCCTGAATTAATATATTTTCTCTAATTTTTTTCTTATGAAATGATAAAGCTACCCATTTCATTATGTATGAGGTCAATTTTTTTTATTGGAGTTAAAATTAACGTAGATATATGACCGAACCTAACCAACCCTACCTAACCTAACCTAACCTATCTTTATAGGTTAGGTTAGGTTAGGTTGCCGAAAAAGTTAGGTTAGGTTAGGTTAGGTAGGTTAGGTAGTCGAAAAACAATTAATTCATGAAAACTTGGCTTACTAGGCAAATTTGGCCTTGCATAGTAGGCTGAGAAGTGAGTTCTGGCTACTAGGTACGACATATATATATATATATATATATATATATATATATATATATATATATATATATATATATATATATATATATATATATATATATATATATATATATATATATATATATATATATATATATATATATATTACATAATACGTTTCTAATTTTCTAGGTGTTGAATAGACTGTTGACAAGGGTTCGACCCCAAACAAGAGTTCAGGTGACAATGCGACGACAAAGTCAACCCGTCCTGATCCTCGTGTTCGGCCTGGTCTTGGGTTTGCCCCAGGTCATTGTTGAAGACCCGGAGTCAGCCAAGTCTACGGCCTTCAGCAGGCGAGGATGGAGGAGGTATGATGGGCACCCCGGGCACGACCACACACCAGGAGGAGGAGAGGTCAGCAAGACCGGCAGTGACAGGTGGGAGAACGTCATCGGCCGCTTCGCCTCCACCACACCCCACGCCAGGACCACTCCGTGAGTACACGCTCCCTCTTCCCCTTCCTAACCATAGGAACAATATAATTTCATACAACCTCCCCAGAGAGGTGAGTTAGCACCCCGGGCCTAACGCCAACCAGTGCGTGTGGCACTTAACGCCACACGCACTTAAACAACCTTAAACAACCCTTAAACCCTCTGACAAGAGCACTTAGTCTGACAAAACTAGCGAGAACGGAGCAACTCCTCGTTTCAATGGTGAATATCCTCCCCTCAGTCAATAACTACCTGGAAACTTTGCCTAAAAAAACTAAACCATTTTTCAGTCTTGCAGGAGCCACAGGCCGGGGCCGGGGGGCGCCGCTCCTCAAATAAAAACTTGCAACAAATTCCTCGATATTTTGTTTGCGCTCGCGCATGCGCAAAAACTTGGCCTCTTATAAAACTATACTTCAAACACTTCTTCCCCCTCCAAACCTGCTAGTAATGGAGGGTATTAATACAAAATAAGAACATATGAGAATATAAACAAATATGATAAAACTGTTTTAAGATAAAAATGCACAACTGTTGGATACGTTGGTGGAGGCAGTAGCAGAACAGGAGACTTGCTCTCTTATATAAGCTTCCCACCGTCTCTTGTGTAGTCTGGAAGATGTTGACCTTGCGCAGTGTTAGGCGCAGCTTGTAGCGTAGGAAGTGTTGACCTTGCGCAGTGTTAGGCGCAGCTTGTAGCGTAGGAAGTGTTGACCTTGCGCAGTGTTAGGCGCAGCTTGTAGCGTAGGAAGTGTTGACCTTGCGCAGTGTTAGGCGCAGCTTGTAGCGTAGGAAGTGTTGACCTTGCGCAGTGTTAGGCGCAGCTTGTAGCCTAGGAAGTGTTGACCTTGCGCAGTGTTAGGCGCAGCTTGTAGCATGTTCTGTCCCTGAGGTTTACTAACCAATATGAACTTAGACAACAAGGAAACATTTCAGCTCCTCCGCGCTTCCTAACGAGATGCTTTTCTCTTTAGTCCGGCCATGATGCTAAAGTTAACTGCGGCGAGAAGTAGTTACCAGCGTCTGTGGGCGGTCTGGCCCACCTCCGGTCACTGTGGGCGGCCTGGCCCACCTCCGGTCACTGTGGGCGGCCTGGCCCACCTCCGGTCACTGTGGGCGGCCTGGCCCACCTCCGGTCACTGTGGGCGGCCTGGCCCACCTCCGGTCACTGTGGGCGGCCTGGCCCACCTCCGGTCACTGTGAGCGGCCTGGCCCACCTCCGGTCACTGTGGGCGGCCTGGCCCACCTCCGGTCACTGTGGGCGGCCTGGCCCACCTCCGGTCACTGTGGGCGGCCTGGCCCACCTCCGGTCACTGTGAGCGGCCTGGCCCACCTCCGGTCACTGTGGGCGGCCTGGCCCACCTCAGGTCACTGTGGGCGGCCTGGCCCACCTCCGGTCACTGTGGGCGGCCTGGCCCACCTCCGGTCACTGTGGGAAGAAAGACCAGGTGTAAGTCCAGGCTGGGGAGTAAAGACCAGTTATAATTAAAGACTATTTGGGCATTATTAATAGCGTAAGGAACTAAATCCAGCTCTTCCGGTTCCTGAATGGAGACCAGTCACTTCCGGCTCCAGACCGGATACCAGTCACTTGTGAATGAAGCTGTCATGAAGGTGAACACATCACCTCCGTTTTCTAATACCAAAGGCAGCCACAGACATGATTCAACAACCCGTCCTCTTAAACACTACGTCGCATTTTGACGTATAAGTTCCCCCGAGGCCAAAAGCCACAGTAGATCGTCAAAATTGACGCAATGTCCCGTTTTCAATTCGTGGGTCCGCGGTTAGGTTAGGTTCGGGCAATTTAATACATCATTTTAATGACTTTGGGAACGTTCGAGAGGACGGGCTAATTTATCAAACAGAATGGAACTTTGTGTGACCGTATTGAGGCCGAGCTATGGGCTAGAACCCCCATCTCTGGGCTCTCCAGGTACCCGTCTACTCGCATATCATGGTTCAGTCGGTTGTGCGTGTGTCTAAAGAGGCCAGGGACGCAGGTTCGATAGTATCACAGTGCCCCAACATGTCCTCATGTTTCTCATAAATACTGTAATATTCGTCAGACACAGTCCAGTAATGGGTAGACAGCAGAGGTCAGCTGCACCATTCACACGGAGGGGGGGGGGACACAGTCCAGTAATGGGTAGACAGCAGAGGTCAGCTGCACCATTCACACGGAGGGGGGGGGGACACAGTCCAGTAATGGGTAGACAGCAGAGGTCAGCTGCACCATTCACACGGAGGGGGGGGGGACACAGTCCAGTAATGAGTAGACATCAGAGGTCAGCTGCACCATTCACACGGAGGGGGGGGGGACACAGTCCAGTAATGGGTAGACATCAGAGGTCAGCTGCACCATTCACACGGAGGGGGGGGGACACAGTCCAGTAATGGGTAGACAGCAGAGGTCAGCTGCACCATTCACACGGAGGGGGGGGGGGACACAGTCCAGTAATGGGTAGACAGCAGAGGTCAGCTGCACCATTCACACGGAGGGGGGGGGGGGGGAGACACAGTCCAGTAATGAGTAGACATCAGAGGTCAGCTGCACCATTCACACGGAGGGGGGGGGACACAGTCCAGTAATGGGTAGACAGCAGAGGTCAGCTGCACCATTCACACGGAGGGGGGGGGGGACACAGTCCAGTAATGGGCAGACAGCAGAGGTCAGCTGCACCACTCACACGGACGGAGACGCCTCGTCAACAAACAGAAGCTGCACAGAGAACATTGCAAACACCGCCGTCACTCAACATGCCGTCAGCCAACCGTCAAACATTTACTTAACAGATCTGATAGATTAAAGTATATCTGAGTGTTCGTTACTACGAGGTCATTGGTAACGTGCGACCTCAAGGCTTCACTGAACTAGAGCGGCTTGTTTGATCACTGCTTAACTAACAACTAGTTGAGTCGGAAGGCCTGGCTCGCTGCCTCCCTCCCCCCCCCCCCCCAGTATATCACACCAACAACCTTCACCAATAATACTAGCAGGTAAGGGTAAAGTTAACTGCAGAAAAATTGGGTTCAAAACTTTGACATTTTTGTATTCCTCTTCCAGTAGTTTGTTTATACCAAGTAACACATTCCTCTCTTTACTTCCTTGCTTCCTCACCTCCCTTCTTCCTCCCCTCTCTCAACACCTCCTCCTACACCCCAATATATGTCACTAGCGGAACACTGAAGATTAGGACATAACAGGATATACACTACATGGCCAGCACAACACGGAAGTAGGCCATCCTCAACACTGGGAGTTCACAGACCTGTGCCCCTCGCTGCTCCTCACGTGTATTACTGACGCCGATGCCAGTCTGGCTCAGCGCCGCTACCACAAGCTACCTTAATGAATATCTTGTAAATGTTAAACCACGAAACGCTGCAAAATGTTGATATAGCAAACCTCGTTTCTTGTTATTCATGGGAGCGTGAGACCCACCGCGGAGGTACAAGAGGGGTGTGGAGGGAGGGGTGTGGAGGGAACAGGGGAGCTACACACACCTACACGGTGAGGATTTACTCATAATAGTTGTTGGCGCACCAACGTGGCGGCGCCAGGAGCCCGTCTTCTCGACTTGACGTTAAAGCTGAACCAGCAGCCTCAGTCACAGCTGGTACACTCCCCTCTGCCTCGTGTCTTCAAGCTTGTGTGTGAAGCTTACTTGGGTGGTGATGCCGACTGACACAACCCACTCCCCCCTCCCTAGACCCCTCTACCCTTAGAACCACCTCCCCACACCACCCCCACACTTAGAACCCCCTACCAACACCACCTTTACCCTCACCACCCCCACCATCAGAACCCCCTCCCTATACCACTCCCACCCTGAGAACCTCCTCCCCCCCCCCTCACCACCTGGCGGGTATGAGGTCTGTCATCCACGTTTTCTTCTTCATTCTAAAAATGCTCTGATGAAGGCGAATTGAGCCGTAAACGCGTTTAGCATTCTCTATTTTTCACATGTGGGGTTTTCGCATTTTTGGATCAGTGTTTTTTTACCGTTGTTGCGAATAAATATAAATATATATGTATATATATGTATATGTGTTAGGTTTGATGATAGTTTGGAAAGAGGTGGGGGAGAGGAGAGTAAGGTGAGGAGAAGCAGCAGAGGAAGAGGAAGCACACACACTAACCGTGATATTTACTATGTTGGTGCACTGTGGTTAGCACACTCGCCTCGCTAACCAGAGGATCCGAGTTCGAATCCTGGGCAAGCTGGGACGTGTGGGCATCGTTCCTTCACTGTTCACAACTATGTAACTAGCAGAAATTAAGAATCTGGATGTAGTGAAAGCAAATGATGGGGACCTTCGACAAGATGCCGGCTCTGTCCTCGTCCAGGCCACTAGTGTTAGTGGCCCTCGGGTAAATCAGGTAAAACAATTGGCAGATTGTGTTCTAGGGAAAATATGGCGCTGAATAACTCAACCGGTACCTGGCTTCAGGCCTGACCGGTTCCAGTAGCTGATCTCGGGTATAAATCTCACCAGGGAATTCTTTACAGAGCCGTGATTTTTTGTTATATAAGAAAATTGTAACAATTATAATACTGACATAAATACTGAATTAAATTAGGGCATACCTAATTAAAGGTAATTATGCAACAACTGTAGTCCGCCTCTGAGGTATCTGTATTGATTACAGTGACGTTACAATAAATACAGATAAGAACACGCATGTTACATGTACCAGGAGACGGGCCCGCAAGCCCCAAACCACAGTTGTGCACCACACACAATATGCTCAGAATAGATTCAGTCCATTCGTGAATGTACGAATATATATGTTTTGTTTCTTGCAAACAATTCCAAATATTCTGCAGTTGTCTGGGTTGAGAACGACTTCTCTAATCAGCAATGTAAACACACCTTGGAAAAAGTAGTATTGTGAAGGCCGTGTAGTAGACGTAGGTGGCGTTGGGTAAGTGCACTAATATACTCTAGGCTACGAGCTGGACCTCGGTGGGGGAAGGCGGGTTTTAGCCAAGATG